GAAGTCCGAGGTGTACAGGGTGAAGAGGAAGGAGGAGAGCACTGTCCCCTGTGGAGCCCCCGTGCTGCAGACCACCATGTCCGATACACAGTTCTGAAGCCTCACAAACTGTGGTCTGTCGTGAGGTAGTCCAAGGTCCATGCGGCTAGGTGACAGTCCACTCCCGCCCTCTCGAGCTTCCCCCTCAGCAGCAAAGGCTGGATGGTGTTGAAAGCACTGGAGAAGTCAAAAAACATGACCCTTACAGTGCTGCCGGTGTTCTCCAAGTGGGCCATGGACCTCTGCAGCAGGTAGATGACTGCGTCGTCCACTCCGATGTTTGGCTGGTACACAAACTGCAGAGGATCCAGATGAGAGCTCACCAGGGGGCGGAGGTTCCTCAGCACGATCCTCTCCAGAGTCTTCATCAGGTAAGAAGTGAGGGCCACAGGTCTGAAGTGGTTGGGCTCCCTGGGGTATGCTTTCTTGGGGACAGGAATCACGCAGGAAGTCTTCCACAGTGTTGGGACCCTCTCCAGACTCAGGCTCAAGCTGAAGATGTGCAGTAGCACCTCACAGAGCTGGTTTGCACAGTCCTTCAGGAGTCTGGAGCTGATGCCGTCAGGACCCGTGGCTTTCCTTGGCTTCATCTTCCTCAGCTCACCTCTCACCTGTTATAGAGAGGCTGAGGGTGGTGTTGGAGGGGGGAAGGGGGGGGGGGGGGGGGGGAGGATGAGTGGGGGGGGGTTGATGATGCCGGTGCCATGGGACTGAGGTGGTGTGAAGAAGAAGCAGCAAGTTTGATGAGTCAGGGGAGGAGTGGGAGCAGAGTCAAACCTATTGAAGAACAGATTCAGCCTGTCTCCTGCTTCAGGTCCCCTCTCATGGCCCCTGCTATGACCTGAGATGGATTTCAGGCCTCTCCAGACCTCCCTTGCGTTGTTCTAGTGCAGAAGGTTTTCCATCTTGGTCTTGTAGCTGGCCTTCCCCTCTCTGATCTTCTTCTTTAGCTCCTTCTGCACCCTCCTCAGCTCCTCCTTGTGCCCAGATTTAAAGACCCTCCTCTTCTCCTTCAGGAGGACTTTCAGTTCCGGGGTCACCCAGGGTTTGCTGTTGGAGAAACACCGTACTTTCCTGGTGGGTACGGTGTTCTCAACACAGAAGTTTATATAGTCCGTGTAGTGATTTGAAATGAGCCTCATACGGTCGCACCAAAATATATGTAGCGATTTGAAATGAGCCTCACAAGGCCGCACCAAAATAATACTTGGCGATTGGAATTTATAATAAATGTCTGAAGATTAATAATCTCAAATTATGACATTTATGCACTCGTTGAAAGGGGCACCACCCACCCTTAATGGTGGGAAAATAAAGAAAACAAAAGTTTAATTCAGAAATCAAACATCAAGTCAGTTTTAATTAATCAGTCTTAATTAATCAGTCTTAATTAATCAGTCTTAATTAATCAGTCTCATATCTTAAGTCGAAATTCTAATTTCAGGGACTCCACTTCTGGAAGAACACTAACAGACCAGAACTTAGAAAAATAATTATCTGTTTATTACAGGATAAATGATGGTACAACACACATGCAATAAATGATGATATGATAATGAAGATAAATAATAATAGGTGAATAAATCAAGATTCTGAGTCAGGCTAGGAGCACTAAAGTTAATGATAGTGAGTGAATATGCGCTAACATATTAACCTACACTAACTTTAGTGTCGAGATAAACTCGGATGTGGATTTGGAGGAATCTAAGATTACCAGAATAAGAGGATATCTGAGTTGAACGCAGGAGACAGCACCAGCCCTCTTTAGAGCTCTGGAGGTTTGCATACTTAAGTGAGACTGGTCCTTGGAGAAGAAGGAGCAGGTTCCGAAGGTCCGGGCTACTGGCGGTTCGAGCGGTTCAGCTCAGAAGACGACTGAAGTCAGCCGAAGGATGAGCCAGGAGTTGCAGCACTCAGGCCCGAAGCAAAAACCAGCGCCTGTGGATCCTGTGGATGCTCGTTTGGGTACTTCTTTAGTCTCACTCAAAAACTCTGGCACAGAGGATGACCTGGGCCTGTTGGATTGCGTTCGGAGGTGACTTTGAAATCACGCAGAAAACTCAGAAAAACGAGGCTCGAAGAGCAGAGAAAACTTTCAAAAATGGCTTCGCGAAATTAAAGAAAATCAATCAAAGGCTTAATCTTGAATTGCTATGTGCACAAAAAGTTGAAGTTTCAAAACTTGAACTAAGACGATGTTAAAGAAAAATCAACGTGAATCAACACGTGGCGTAAAACTTAGAAGACTAAGAAAAAGTTCTAAGATAAAACAAAGAAACGCACCACAGAAGGGTGTGGGCAGAAAAGAAGGGCCCAAGAGTAAGGGGCCTAAGAGAGACAAGAGAGTCAGCACACAAGAGCAGAAGCGTAAGAGAGTTAAGAGGCATAAGAGACATAAGAGAGTGAGCAACCCCACTTCACTGGTTTTATCTTCTCACACTGGGTGTGTCTCCGGCGTGTGGGTGTGAGGAGAAAGAGGAGGAGGGGTTGTGTGGTCTCCAAGCAGAGATGAACTCGGATCTCTGATTATTTGATCTAACTTATTCTTTTGGCTGCTAAAAGAGTCAGATCTGATACTCACTCACTATGATTAATATCATTGAATGCTAGGTTTCATGATAAATAATTTGACACTAAACACATATGAATGAAGTGTAGGATCACATCAAACATTCTCATTATGTTTTAAGTATCACATTAAACATGCTAAATTACTCTGAAATGAAACAGATAGTAACACATGGAAACTGTGAACAACAAAAGAGTAAATACATGTGAATGAACTTCATCATGATTAATAATGGATTCTAAATACTCACATTCAGATTATTCAATGACATTATAACCACCTAATGGTTAAAATACTAAATAAATAACTAAAATATAAACCAAACATTTCTAAACTATTTCTGTTACTTAGAGTAAACTTAGGATTCATAGTCAATAAATTTAACTCTTAAAAGTTCATGAAACAGTCTGAAAAGCTGTTGGTCTAAAGAACTAAAGAATAAGGATTTATTCTGTCAGATAAGATAACTTGGCTTCTGAAGCACATAGAAAAACGGGAAACATCTCATTTTAACACAAATTTCATGATTAGACAGATTAGTACATTGCTGAATGCATAAGATGTCATGATCAGTCATTTGTATTCTTTCACCAAAGGAATGCAGTCTTTATCAGTGTATGGTCGAGCAGGGTTTTACGACCGAGGTCTGGAGGTCAGTGTCCCCCCTTATCCTGGGGTCCGTATGTTCACACACTTTAAGACGCTAAATCTCAAATGGGAGGTCTGGGTTGAGACGTTAATGTTTATTTAGATGGTCAGCAAATGGAGTCAGTTTGAAAGGTAATAAAAACTCTGTCTCTGTTCTCCGAATTGACCAATCGTGAAGAGTCGGAGGTTTAGTCAACCTCCGGTTGGGTCACTTATTTAACCTGAAAGTGCAAACACGTCTGGAAAGATTTATATCCTGTTTCCTGGGACCAGATAAGGAAACTTTCCTGTAAGGAATGTGTGGGTTTCACATCCAGGGTTGTCTTGATTGCTACATCCGTGATACAATCTGTCATGGTGTCGATGTCATCACCATATGGGCTGCACAGTACATCCCAGTCTGTGGTCTCAAAACAGTCCTGCAACGCCTCAGTGGCCTCCTCAGACCACCTCTTAACATACCTGATGGTGGGGGGTTGTTTCTTCACCGAAGGTATGTAAATGGGCTGCAGTCTCACCAGGTTGTGATCTGAGCGGCCCAGCGGGGGAAGGAGGTGTATGCATCCTTGATGTTTGCATACAGTAAGTCCAAAGTTTTATTGTCTCTTGTTGGGCAGTTTACATACTGGCTGAAGGTAGGGAGAGTGGAGGAGAGTGATGCATGTTTAAAGTCTCCAGAGATGATGATCAGAGACTGAGGGTGTGATGTTTGTAGCTTGGACACTTCACCATGGAGGAGTTCACAGGCTGCAGCAGCATCAGCCGAGGGAGGGATGTAAACAGTTAACGCGATGACGTGCGAAAACTCCCTTGGCAGGTAATATGGCTGCAAACTCACAGCCAGCAGCTCAATGTCCTTAGAGCAGCACTGCTCTTTAACACTGACGTGACCAGCATTACACAATCTCTCATTCATAAACACCGCTATCCCGCCTCCTTTCTTCTTACCACTCTCCCTCGCGCTACGGTCCGCTCTGACGAGATGAAATCCGTCCAAAGTTACGAGTGGGTCCAGAGTGAGTTCGTTCAGCCATGACTCCGTGAACATCATGAGGCTGCACTCCCGGCACTCCCACTGCAGCTGAGTCAGCGCTGTGAGCTCTTCCATCTTGTTGGGGAGAGACCTCACATTTCCCATGATAATGGACGGGGCAGTTGGCTTAAAACGTCTCTGCTTTGCCTGATGCTGAACTCAGGCTCGGCATCCTCTTCTTCTCCTGCGGAGCTTGGCGGGGATGTTGGGTTTCTCCCACGAAGGTGGCCGGGAAGGGGGTTTATTTGTGATTGTTTTTTGTATGTTTCTATTTTTCTTTGTGTGTAAAGCACTTTGTGTTGCATGTCCATGCAAGAAAAGTGCTCTATTAATAAAGTTTGTTGTGTGTTTGTTAAAACTGAACCATACAAAGTCGAAACCAGAAAACAGAGGAAACCACTGGACATCTCTGAACCTGAGTCCACCTTAACTACCATTCAAACAGGTCCAAATGAGAATATTTGTTTCTTTTGTTTTTCACACACTATTTTGAGTTCATACAGAAAAAAAAAATATTTGATCAAACTCTCCATTGACTTGGTTAACTGTATACGTATTGGAAACACCAAACAAAGACCTACAGAAAAGGTTGGACACCTGCTAGGTTTAAACTTATTTACTGTCTCATAAAAAGAGTGGGAGGTGGTGCAGGTTGTAAAATATAGACCTGTACCTGGTGTCTTGACAGAGTCCTGGGCCACCAGGGGGATGTCAGTACTGACATCTCTTCTCTTCCAGATCAGTGACAATAAGAAGCTGCAGGAGAAAAACAAGAGGAGATCATCTGATGGTTGTACTGGCAATGTATAACTCTTATGCAGTTGGATGACTGCTGAGTTACTGAGCAGCTCAAACTATGACTGGAAATGACAACGCTGCTGTAACAACCTGCTCCCATCAGATCATCCCAAACGTATTTCATTGCCATGAGACAAGGTCACACATTTAATCGAATGAATTTATTTTGTTTCAAAGCAATGATGGTGCAAAGTAAGTAACTCAGCGGGCCAGTAACAGGCTTTGATCAAACCTGAGAGGGTTGGAGGCTGAGGGGGCTGGGGCTGGGGGAGGAGGTGGTGGTGGGGGAGGTGGAGGCACTGAAGCTGGAGGTGGGTTGGTAGCCGATTGCAGTTTCTTCTGGAATAACTTGACTGGCTGATGACAGATATACGGTCAGAGTAAATACACAGCATCAAGAACAGAGAAAGAGAGACTTTTGCTGTTCAGACTCTGAAGAGCTGATATTCTCTTGGATGACAAAGACAAGAGGAGAATCTCAGGGTCACTCTTCAGAGCAGATGGTGATGATTCTGAATGGGTCACTAGAGTAAAGAGTGCACAGTAAAGCCCCACAGAGAGCTCTACCCTCAGAGTTCTGAATATGTCTTCACCTGTAAAGCGCAGATCTTTGACCTCCACTTCAGCCTTGGAATATTTTTCATGGTGATCCATCCTCTCTTCCTCCAACAGCTCCAGTTTACGCCTCAGCTCCTTCTGCATCTCACAGCTCTTCAGCCTGTCCTCCATCTGCTGGATCTAAAGAAGGATCAATCACAGTGTTTAACACTGATCACAAGAAGCTCACACTGTTAGCATCATAAACAAGGTTACTTTAAACCTTCACTATCATATAAACAAACATTACTTGTTATATATGATGCCAATACCACACAAAAGATGGTCTGTAAATCCTTCTTACCTTCTATCTAATTTAAAATGATGCATTTTAAATGTTAAGTTTTTGCTAATTTTAAATTTAATGTAATGTAATGCTGAAGAAAACACCTGGACTAACATCTCTCAGAAAACAAGGATTCAAGAGAGGTTGAGTCTTTCAGCAGAAAAGATGGGAAGAGGTCAACTACTCTGTGAGAGACTGAGAGAGAAAGAGGTCAAACTATTCTCAAAACGTCCCAAAATGAATCAGAATCTTAAGAAATGTCAGCACCAAAGGGACCAGGCAAAGAGACAACTCTGGATGACAGATCTTTGGACACTCAGGTGGCACTAGACTAAAAAGAGAACTGCAGCGGGAATCACTGAGTAAACAAAATTTCACTGCTAAAAAAAAAACGCGTCTGTGGTATCTGAAAACACAATTTCAACCTGCATCCACAAATGAGGTTAAAACTAAACCGTGCAAAGAGAAAACCAGATAGAAACAGGATTCAGAAATGTTGTAGACCGCTCTGAGCCAGAGCCCATCTAAAGCCCATGACCCACAGAGCCCATGTGGGGTGCGTTCTTTCTTCGCCATAGACTGTATATACTATGGACAACTTGGCTCCACCTTCTGTCACCATATAAATTTGAAGCCAAATTGCTCTCTTATAGGCTGTATTGGGACAGAGGAAAAAGTGCCTAGAAAGTGAATCTCGTTCCACTTCAGTGGGGCAACATAAACTGTGATTCATAAAATAGCTCTATTGATAGTAAGTACTAAAGAAAATATCTACTCATGCCATCCAGTCGATTTTTAGTAATCAGTGTTTCGGTGTCGAACTATTTCCTTTCTGCGGCATAGTGATACTTGCACACGCGCAATCAAATATGCAGAGGGGTGAAGCGATTTTTGTCACGTGGACCAATAGGAGCAGAGTCTCGTTGCCATAGTATCAGAAATACACAAACATGGCGACGAGTGCATCTAGCAGCGAGACAAGCGAAGAGGAAGAAAAGAAAAGGAAAAAAGAAAACAGCCTTCAAAAGTGTATAAAAAAGGAATGAAACGATGCTATATGCATTTTTTATCTGTCCAGAGTGAAGATGTTCTCGACTTTACAAGGACATGTTGGGAAACTTACAGAACTAGTATTAGAAAGTGGCTTTCTCTACAGGGTGAGACAAAAGACCTTGCAGAAACTTATAAACATTGCATTGATATCGACTTTGACAATGTTCCTGATGATGCCGGGTTCCACATGACATGCTACCAGCGATTTATTTGCAAAAGGCATTTGAGAAACAAGAAAGTGATGCAGCCGCGGGTCATCAAACCCTTCAGCCAGCATCACCGATACATCCACGTCCACGGCACCTGAAACTCCGCGAAAGAAACTTCGCTCAAGGTCATAGGCTGTATTGGGACAAAGGAAAAAGTGCCTAAAAAGTGAATTTCATTCAGCTACGCTGGTGCTACTTGTTCAATGCATTTTTGCATAGACAATACCATTCTGGACTTTTGGTTAAAATATCTACCCAGACTATCTGTCCAACTTTTGTCACCAGCCAGAAATGTGCATATACGTGAGAAACCCAAAAAACAATCATATGGTGCTGCTGTTTTTGCTTGTAGAAACTGCTATGTTGATTCTGGCAAGACAAAATCGTTCTCAAATGTCGTAAATACACCTACCTAACATCTGAAACAGCTATTGGGACCTTACGCCTGGTTCACACAGGACGCCGATGCTGCGCGCGCTGTGCCGGCGCTTTTTCTGCTGCGCTCTGAGGCGCCGGTCAGACATCGACTGAGCCCGGCAGTGCTCGGCTGTTTCCGTCTGCCCTCAGTTTTCCACACTTACGAGCGCTTTAAACATGGGTAAATCAATATTTATTTACGTTTTTTTTACGTCATACATACACTCACCGGCCACGTTATTAGGTTGAGATCTGGTGACTGTGGAGGCCATTTGAGTACAGTGAACTCATTGTCATGCTCAAGAAACCAGTCTGAGATGATTCCAGCTTTATGACATGGCGCATTATCCTGCTGAAAGTAGCCATCAGAAGTTGGGTACATTGTGGTCATAAAGGGATGGACATGGTCAGCAACAATACTCAGGTAGGCTGTGGCGTTGCAACGATGCTCAATTGGTACCAAGGGGCCCAAAGAGTGCCAAGAAAATATTCCCCACACCATTACACCACCACCACCAGCCTGAACCGTTGATACAAGGCAGGATGGATCCATGCTTTCATGTTGTTGACGCCAAATTCTGACCCTACCATCCGAATGTCGCAGCAGAAATCGAGACTCATCAGACCAGGCAACGTTTTTCCAATCTTCTATTGTCCAATTTCGATGAGCTTGTGCAAATTGTAGCCTCAGTTTCCTGTTCTTAGCTGAAAGGAGTGGCACCCGGTGTGGTCTTCTGCTGCTGTAGCCCATCTGCCTCAAAGTTCGACGTACTGTGCGTTCAGAGATGCTCTTCTGCCTACCTTGGTTGTAACGGGTGGTTATTTGAGTCACTGTTGCCTTTCTATCAGCTCGAACCAGTCTGGCCATTCTCCTCTGACCTCTGGCATCAACAAGGCATTTCCGCCTACAGAACTGCCGCTCACTGGATATTTTTTCTTTTTCGGACCATTCTCTGTAAACCCTAGAGATGTTTGTGCGTGAAAATCTCAGTAGATCAGCAGTTTCTGAAATACTCAGACCAGCCCTTCTGGCACCAACAACCATGCCACGTTCAAAGTCACTCAAATCACCTTTCTTCCCCATACTGATGCTCGGTTTGAACTGCAGGAGATTGTCTTGACCATGTCTACATGCCTAAATGCACTAAGTTGCCGCCATGTGATTGGCTGATTAGAAATTAAGTGTTAACGAGCAGTTGGACAGGTGTACCTAATAAAGTGGCCGGTGAGTATAGATTAAATATTGGCAGCATCTTCAAGTATTGTTTTAAATTATTATATAGGGGTAAACCACAAATGGATTGGGGAGTCTGTTGACTCCGTTGTATGTGTAGCCTTGTTAGCTCGAGGCTATTGACTCTATCGTATTAAAGTCCCCCTCCTTTGTCTCAATAACATCACTGAATCTCTGCCGCTCTCCCTCCGTGTGTGTGTGTGTGTGTGTGTGTGTGTGTGTGTGTGTGTGTGTGTGCATGCGTGTTCATTGGGAAAAAATAGACCAACAAGCATCACCGTAAATCCTTTTTTTCTAATTTATTGAAATTTATTTTATTTTGAAAATTGGCCGGAGTCTCCTGTTCCCAACTTCCTGTCTGGTCCGATCTTCTCTGTCCAGCTTTACAATTGGCACTTGTGGCTCACGCAAAAAATAGAGAGAAGCGGAGCAGCCGCGCTCCAGAGTGCGAGCCGTTCCGCGTGCGGCAGTCCCCCACACGCGCTGTGTGAACAGTCACAAAGGTTAACACAGGCGCCCGTTTCGAAACTCAGTGCGCGGCGCTTCCTGTGTGAACCAGGCGTTAGTATACACATAAGTGAATTCAGATTATGAAATGTAGCAAATTTCTTGAAGAAGACATCTCAACTCAAGTGATTTGCACCCAGCACAATGAAATATATACAGTAAATTTAGCTAAAATGTTGCTATGTTGCTAAAATGTTATGTTTCATACCTAAAAATGACACAACCTACTTACAAGATAGTCTTGCAGACATACAAGAACATCCATACATTCACAGGTTGTGACTCGACCAGTGCCTTTAATGGCAAGGGCAAAAGAAAAACATTTTCTGTTGCTTGTCAGAAAGAAGAATACCTGACTGGGTTTGCAAATCTGGGCAACAGTTTTAACCTTGACCAATCCACCTTTAACACGCTGAGTAATTATGTGTGCCACCTGTATGGCCAGTCATCTGCCAAAAATGTAAATGATGCCAGATACAAATCTTTTTGCATGGCCTCGTCAGCTTTGCCAGAACTGTCCATTCCCCCAAAGAGTGACGCCCTGTACCAACACTGCATGAGAGCAAACTACCAAGCAGCGGTGATGAAACATTCTCTGACTGGTAAAATGTGTGCCCCTTCACACTTTCTTCACAAATCCTGCCCCTGATAGTGATAGTCCATTGTAGTTGCAAGACAACCAAATGTGAGACTAAACAATGTTCTTGTATGTCTGCAAGACTACCTTGTACAGATTTATGTCGGTGCCAAGCATGTGAGAATGCTTTAAAGGAAACAAAAGAAAGAGCTGTATGGGATGATGACTCTGATGAAAGTGATAGTGATGCGTAATAAACGCACCATGTCACCATGTACAATTTGTTTAGTTTAAAGGATTGCTACACCGAGATTTTAGATTTTTATTATTTTTATATTTGTTCTACAATTGTCTGCGTTTGTGTTTTGATCTTTCTTTTCATATTCTGGAGGGATTGATAAATGTCAGATGTTTTGACACTGTGATACTTGAATAAATGTTTTATACCATATTTTGAATTAATTCTGACCTTTTGTGCATTTATTTTTGTCTTGTTATATTTTTTCCATTATTCCAATTTTGGTGGGTGTGGTAGCAATTTGATTGACTTTCAGCCATTTATGGCCATGATGTGCTTTTTATATCTTATTGCTTTTATTACACAGTAGGTTGTGTCATTTTTATGTATGAAACATAAGCTTTTAGCTAAATTTACTGTTTATATTTCATTGTGCTGGGTGCAAATCACTTGAGTTGAGACGTTTTCTTCAAGAAATTTGCTACATTTAATAATCTGAATTCACTTATGCGTATACTAAGGCACCAATAACTGTTTCAGATGTTAGATAGCGGTATTTATGACATTTGAGAAAGATTTGGTCTTGCCAGAATCAACATAGCAGTTACTACAAGCAAAAACAGCAGCACCATATAATTGTTTTTGGGTTACTCACATATACAGTACAGGCCAAAAGTTTGGACACACCTTCTCATTCAATGTCTTTTCTTTATTTTTTTATATGACTGTTTACATTGTAGATTATTATTGAAGACATTAAAACTATGAATGAACACATGTAGAATTTTGTACTTATAAAGAAAGTGTGAAATGACCGAAAACATGTTTTATATTCTAGTTTCTTTAAAATAGCCACCCTTTGCTCTTGATGACAGAAGTACCTTGTCAGGGTTACTTCAGGCACTCCTGTGAAGTAAAAACCATTTCAGGTGACTACCTCATGAAGCTCATTGAGAGAACAGCTAAAGTTTGCAGCGCTATCAAAAAAGCAAAGAGTGGCTACTTTGAGAAATCTAAAATATAATACATGTTTTCAGTTATTTCACACTTTTTTCTTAAGCACATGATTCCACATGTGTTCATTCATAGTTTTGAGAATCTACAATTTAAATAGTAATGAAAACAAAGAAAATGCATTGAATGAGAAGGTGTGTCCAAACTTTTGGCCTGTACTGTATGTAAATTTCTGGCTTGTGACAAAAGTCTGACAGATAGTCTGAGTAGATATTTTAAACCAAAGTCCAGAATGGTATTGTCTATGCAAAAATGTATTGAACAAGTAGCACCAGTGCAGTGGAATGAAATTCACTTTCCAGGCACTTTTTCCTTTGTCCCAATACAGCCTATGACCTCGAGCGAAGTTTCTTTCGCGGAGTTTCAGATGCCGTGGATGTGGATGCATCGGCGATGCTGGCTGAAGGGTTTGACTGACCCGCGGCTGCATCACTTTCTTGTTTCTCAAACGCCTTTTGCAAATAAATCGCTGGTAGCATGTCATGTGAAACCCAGCGTCATCAGAAACATTGTCAAAGTTGATATCAACGCAATGTTTATAAGTTTCTGCAAGGTCTTTTGTCTCACCCTGTAGAGAAAGCCACTTTCTAATACTAGTTCTGTAAGTTTCCCAACATGTCCTAGTAAAATCGAGAACATCTTCACTCTGGACAGATGATAGATGCATATAGCATCGTTTCTTTCCTTTTTTATGCACTTTTGAAGGCAGTTTTTTTCCTTTTCTTTTCTTCCTCTTCGCTTGTCTTGCTGCTAGATGCACTCGTCGCCATGTTTGTGTATTTCTGATACTATGGCAACGAGACTTGGCTCCTATTGGTCCACGTGACAAAAATCGCTTCACCCCTCTGCATATTCGATTGCGCATGTGCAAGTATCACTATGCCGCAGAAAGGAAATAGTTCGACACCAAATCACTGATTACTAAAAATCGACCAGATGGCATGAGTAGATATTTTTTTTAGTACTTACTATCAATAGAGCTATTTTATGAATCACAGATTATGTTGCCCCACTGAAGTGGAACAAACCAACACGATCTCACAGCCTATTATGCCCATAGGCTGTATCGAGTGTCAATCATAGAAAACAAGAATCCCTAATAACTTTTAAAAATGGAGCTGCACAGAAAAAAGTGGACTTGAGCACAAACCAGTCTTACAGTACTACATCTCAACATCACAAACAGGGGGGGAGAAAAAATTATATTCTGTGTAATTACTTTTTGAAGTTTGTCCACAGTCCAGTCCAAAGCCAGCATCCCTGATGGTATGGGGATCATCAGAGTCCATGTCATTGGTATCTTCCACATCTCTGAAGGCTCCATTAGTCCTGAACAATATTTACAGGTTTAGGAGCAACGTCTGCTGCCATCCAGCAGTGTTGTTTTTGGCAGGCATTTTAGATTTAGTTTTAGTCTTAGTCATTTTGACGAAATGCTTCTTCGTTTCAGTCCCATTTTAGTCATTTCTATCCTTGATAGTTTTCGTCTAGTTTTAGTCCGACGAAAACTCAAAAGGTTTTAGTCTAGTTTTAGTCGACAAAAAGGTGCCTTTTGAGGTTCGTGGTGTTCTTTCCCGACAGTTTGAAGCCGCAGCATGAGGAAGCTGTGGCTCCACAACGTTCGTCTGTCTCGTCTCCCTGTCCCCGTACAAGACATTGTGTTTTATTGTCACTTGGACTGTATCTGAAGTAGGACCAAAAATCATCCCTCTTTTTTCGGCCACCGGGCACTGCTGCTGTGCCTGCCGCCACGGTGTGTGTTTGCGCGCGCCTCGTCCACCTGCCGCTCTGTGTATGTGTATATGTATGAGTGTGTGCGCGCAGCTATGCGCGAGCGAGGCTTTTGGTGCGTGTGTGATGGGGGCGTGACTGTAAGGACAAAAAAAAGCATGTTTTGAAACTTTGTTCGTCCACCTAATAACAATTTAGTCTCGTCTCGTTCTCGTCTGACGAAAATCAATACAATTTTCGTCACATTTTAGTCTTTACAGAGCTTTGGTGACGTTCGTCTTAGTCTCATTTTCGTCAAGGAAAAAAGGGGTCTGACGTCGTCATTTAAGTTTTCGTCCCGCCTGACGAAAACAACACTGCCATCCAGACAAAGACTTTTTCAGGAAAGACCTTCATATTTCAGCAAGACAATGACAAACCACATTCTGACAACAGGGATTACAACAGCGTGGCTCTGTAGGAGAAGAGTCCTGCTGATCTGCCTACAGTCCGAACCTGTTAAAAACATTTGACAACATAAACCAAAAAGAAAAAAACCCTAAACTGTTCAGCAGCTGTAATCCTCGGCAGTGTTAGGCAAGAATGAGACAGTGTCTTCCTGTCAAAACTCAGAAACTGGTCTCTGAGCTTCCACTGGATTTATAGAGTGATGTTAACAGAAGAGAAACACATTAATCTTGACCCTGTCTCAGCTCCGGTAAAACTTTTGATGTCTTTTTTTAATTACAGATAAGGTTTGCAGGCCATCAAAATGTGTTTTAATTACACCATGTCACAGTTTTTGTGGGGCTGAGGTTTTGGGGTTGTCAGCTTGAGTGTATGTGACTCTTCAAGAGATGTTTCCTTTTAACTCTTCACAAATCTTGATCCATACTCTGCATCACTTTATGAGCTGCAGCTCCTGCTGGTGTGATATCTGACAAATAACCAAGTAGTGACACACCTGACACTCAGACATCCACTCTGGTCCCTGGTCCCTTAAACAGTGCTTTAATTGTTCCTCAAACCAAGGGTCTGGCTCTCCTTCTCCCCAGCACCAGCAGCGATCAGTGATCCCACTCAGTTTAATTGTTTCCCATCAGAGCCTGAAGAGGTGGGAGGGAGCGGCATTGCTGCTCTTTTAATGATGAAACTCAGAGGTCAGAGACAGAGAGTTCACTGGTATGGCCTGTGATTAGTCACCAAGCATCCCTCTCCATGTGATTAACCAGTTAATAATCGTTTTGGATGCATAAGAATCAGGGGCATTGTAGGTGTAAAGCCACAGATTGATAACACATGTCATACCTTTTTTTACGTAGCTTCTCTGTGTCAGGTGGGAATGTTTCATACTCTTCAATCAGGTACTTTCTTCATAAAAACAGGTTCTCAGTCATGGTTTATGGTTTTCTCCTGATTCCCATCTTTGAGTTCATTATTTTAATAGGTAAAGTCATAACACTTACCACCATAACACAATCTGGATCATGTTACCCTGTTAAATGGGGCTCATTCCCTGGTCCCCCTCTTTAGTGAAAACCACTGCTCTGGTCTGCTGCTCCAGAGGCCCTTCCCCATCTTTCATGCAACATGTGTGTCAGTCCAGACAACCTAACAATGTCCCCGGGGAGCGGTCATTGATCAGCGAAGCAGAAACTCAGACTGCAGCTGTATGTGAGCCACTGGTTTCCCCTGATTCAGAAAGGTCCTGATGTCCTGTTGGTACCAAGCCCCACTCTTGACAGTAGGAGCTCCCTGAGTTGATGGGTTCACAGTTAACACGCCTGGACCACCAGGTAATTCGGATCCCTCCTGTTCTCCAGTCCCCTCCCTCCCTTGGTCTGCTGAGTCTGCTTCTTCCTCTGCTTCATAAAGGTGTCCATCTGTGTCCAAAGTAAACTGCATGTCCATGGTACTGTCCGAATTTCTCAATTTTTAGCAAATCGGCTAATCATGCCCTACAGGCCTGTCACATCCTAGAACAGACTTTCTCAAAGTGGGTGCCATCTGACTGCATCAAGGGTGCGTTTAAAAAATGACCTATTATGACATTTCATATAGAAATATATGGAATAAATACATAAATATATTCTTTTTACATATATGCATAAATAAAAAAATAAGTAAATTCATTTTAGATAAATAAAAACATAAAATTGATCATCAAAATCTGTCTTACGTGCCTGTTGTCAGTAAGATCTCACAACATGAATTGCCCAGCCCACAGGGGTCAGCAGACGGTCTGACTGTGCAGCACATCTTTTTATCATTTAACTGCGTAAATACATTTGATTTCACAAAGAGCAAGAAACAAGCCGCAGAATCATGGAGTGTTTTCTAATATGAAAAGCCCTACAAAAACGGAACACTATTGATTGTGTAAAGGAGCCCTAGCCAACTACTTTACGCAAGCCGTCATCCTCCAACTCTGAGTCGGCACCAAAAGTAAAAGAGGTAGATGCTAGAGTGTGTGTGTGTGTGTGTGTGTGTTGGGAGGGGGGGGGGGGGGGGGGTTAGGCCCTTGCTGCCTGGCTTTCATTGAGGTTCTATGGTCAAAAGAGGGCTAGAGCTGACTGGGATCCTATGTGGCTAACTCCCCGTTCACATGAGCCTCATACTACCATATTAGGAAAAATAATAATGATAATTATAATCTAAGTTATCAAAGCTTGTATTTACTCTCACAAGGTTTTCTGTTTTATAATTTTGAGTGACCTGTACTTTGGGTACGTTCTTCAGTAAAGAGATCTTAATAAGTACTTCCAAGTAACAGAGAAACATCACAAATTCTGGCTTACAGTCTGTACCATGTATCAATGTCTGTGAAACCCAACCAAAAACTATGGATCCTGACACTGTGTGCAATGTGTCAGCCATAAACCAGTCCACTTCTTGCAAACCTGATTCTCATGCTCCAGATTCAGATCCCGGGTCAGTTTTGTGACCTGGCTGAGAGCTTCTTGTAGGGCTTGACTGGGCGAGGGGCTCTGGGTCAGGATCAGACTCTGTCTCTTCAGCTGCTTTTGCTCAACCAGCATCTGAAAAAAGGGTTACAGGGACACAGATGATCCTCCACATTAAACAGAGTGAGGACAGGTTTGGACTAACCCTCACAGGGGGTTACTGTGAAAAATCACCTCTCTAGCAAATTTCTCAGCCTCAGTCCTCAGGTCCCGCTCCAGGTTAAAGGTATACTGTAAGGCCTCAAATTCTCCAACAGCAAACTGAGACACTGAAAAAAATTTCCAAGTCTTATCACGCATGTCTTTCACAAGAACAGAGCATAAAAAAAGAAGCCTGCATTAAAAGAAACAAACTGCCTCATACCTCTGTTGGATTTGCCCAGGAGCTTTTTTGTTGCAGGGTCTCAGCGATTAAAAGAGTGTTATCATGTTTCTCTTTGAGCAGCTGCAAACGGGAGAGGAGACAAAAACAGATAAAGTGTACATTTTGTTTCGACAAAGCTCTCTTTCACATTGATGACCAAACGAAGACGGTTTTGACACACATCAGTCAAATGATTCCTTGGCATGTGTGCACGTCTCTGCATCATTTATTTATTTATTTATTTTCTCACATCCACTTTTATAATAATAATTCAACAGCCATTAAAATAATTCATTTTACAAGTGGTCTTTGTAAACAATTGCTTTATATATATATGTATATATATATTTATGTGTGTATGTGTGTGTGTGTGTGTGTGTGTGTGTGTGTGTGTGTGTGTGTGTGTGTGTGTGTGTGTGTGTGTGTGTGTGTAAATGAATAAATCAGAAAATTAAAATTTAAAACAAATTTTAGAAAGAGGGAAAAGTTAAAAAAACAACCATAAAAAACATCGAACAAACGAAGAGGATGGAAGAAAAAAACAAGACAAACAAGAACAAGACAAAAGCAATATATCAAAGATGATACCAATCATGGGTTATAAATTCCCTTTACATGAAGATACTTCATCTATTCATCAGCACATGCATATCTTTATCATTTACCTCTGGGTATCATTTTATCATTTGAGACAAAAAGCTTTATGGGTTGTCATTCCATTTGTTCTCCCACCGCCTCCTTTAATGGTTGCCATCTTTCCATAAACACTTCTTTTTGTAATCGTCACAAATATGTCATTTTTTCCATTGTATAAATATCTTTTAGGATTGCTACCCATTCATCGATGTGGAGGGATTCTGTTAAAGCCATCTTAATCAATTGCTTTCTTTGCTGCGATTAGTACTACTTGGAGGATGTACATCCTTTTCCTATTGAGAATGACATCTGGTTTTATCCCAAGAATTGCTGTCAGAAGGTCCCTAGCCAGTTCGACTTCTCATGTTTGATTCACAGTAGCAAAAACAGATTTGGGCATTGCAAAAATATATGTTGGTGTGTCGCTTTGTTCTTACCGCATCCCCTCCAACGTGTACTTAACCGACTTGAGCTCATCTTTGCCATAATATCTGGTGATCTAAAAAATCTATTCACTATCTTCCACTGCAATTCTCTCCACAAATTAGCATTAGTAACTGTAAAGGGGGTCACTGATAGAGGCATATCAATACTATAACTCTTTTCCATATTAAGCCATCTTGTGTTTATGTCATCTGATAACCATATTATCATCGCCCATAGTTGTGCCGCAGTAATAACATTTTAGATTGGGCAGTCCTATTCCTCCCTTAGATTTTGCTAATTGTAAGACTTTATATCTAACCCTGGGCTTTTTGCCCAACCATGTAAATCTTGAGATGAGGAGGTCTATAAGAACAAACATAGATTTAGGAGGGGCAACTGGTAATGTCTGGAAAAGAAGGAGAAATTGTGCCGTAAATTCATTCTGATAGTCTCCAATTTACTGGTTAATGTAAGAGGGAGTGGTTTAGATTTTTTCTATAAATTTTGCATAATTGGCTTATATAAAATTAGTTCAGACTGTATATTTATCCCCAAATACCTGATGCCCTCCCTAGGCCATCTGAATGAAAATAAGGTCTTCAGTTGAGGAGAGATCAAGTTATTCATAGGGAGTGCTTCGGTTTTTGTCACATTTACTTTTGTACTCTTGTATCCAGAGTAAAGTCCAAATGACACACTTTTTTTTAGGATCAGAGATATACACAATTATGTCATCTGCATATAACGACAACTTGTGTTCCTCTCCATTCACTTCAATGCCACTTACATTTGAACTATCTCTTGTTAATTGTGCTAGTGGTTCTATGCTTTAGATAAGAATTACTTTATTAGAAGGAAAATTCAATTGTCTGTTGTCTCACATAATATGTCTCCAAAAGTTATCTATTATTTACACAAGACTTAAAAGGTCTGATGGCTGTTGGTACAAAAGATCTTGTGAATCTTTCTGTCCTGCAGTGAAGAGAGAGGAGCCGTCCACCACCATTGGCCCTTTGGTCCATCAAGGTGTTGTGAAGTGGGCGATCCATGTTCTTTAGAATAGTCTCCGCCTTCCTCAGTGTAGATCTCTCCACCAAATCCTCCACTGAGTCCAGCTTGAGTCCAACCACAGAGCCAGCCTTTTTCACTAGTTTGTTAAGACGTCTTGCATCTTTGTGTTTGATGCTTCCTCCCCTGCAGACTGCAGTGTAGAACAAAACACCTGCCACCACAGACTGATAAAACATCTGCAGCAACTTACTACAGATGTCTATTGATCGGAGTCTTCTCAGGCAAAAGAGGTGGCTCTGCCCCTTTCTGCAGATGATGTCTATATTCTTAGACCAGTCCAACTTATTATCTAGATGTACACCTAGGTATTTATATGATGTCACCACTTGATATCCACTCCACAGGTGTTCACTGGCTGAAGAGGGGGTTTAGGGCAAGTCTATTAGGGCAAATAGAGGAGGTAAGAGGGGGTCTCCTTGCCTACAACCCCTCTCCAACTCAAATTTTCTTGAGAAACATCCATTTGCCCTCACTGATGCCTGAGGAGATGAATATAGAAGCTGAACCCATTCACCCCCCCCCCCCCCCCCACAGGCCAATAAACCCTGCAATAAACCCTGTCTGATCCTGGTGCACTGTGGCTGTAATAGCAGACTTAAGTCGTTTTGCAATTATCGTGGTCAATATTTTACAATCAGACTTTGGAAGCACTATGGGTCTATAAGAACTGCACTCTGTGGGGTCCTTGCCCTCTATGTATCACTGAAATAATTGTCTCTTTACAATTTTTGGGGAAGTTCCTCAGTTTTAAATTCAAACCTATAACCCAGTGGTCTCCGTATGGCAGACCGCGGTCCACTTCCGGACCAGGAAAGAGTCCAATACGGATCCGAGCCTACCGCAGAAAAATGTATGTTTTTTTTCTCTCTTGTAGGCCTGCACGATATACATGTGTGCGATAGTCACATCGCAGAGCCTGCGATGTCGGAGGTGAATGAACTCAGTTGATTTCAAGGGTAGCCGACTGAGATACACTGCATGGGACTCTGCATGTGCTGTGTAGCGATCCACCAATCACCTTTGTCCTTTACTCAGTTGCCAATCAGACTCAGTTCTCAGTTGCCAATCAGACTACCCTGCCAGCTGTCAATCAAAATCAGAGAGGAGGAAACCCACCCCTGCACATGTTCTGCACATGGAGTTACTTGCTGGCTGCTGGTGTTCAGCCGAGAAACGGGTGTCCGCTGAGAATTACTTTCGTAACTTTACTGACTGTTAAGCCCAACAAATAAGACCTGTATGGGTTTTGAATGGTACATTTCCGTGGACCACTCTATTATAAGTGGTGCGCGTTTTGCAAGGTGCATGCAATTCTAGGAGGACATGCGTTTCTCGGCACAACACCGCTAACAACAACAACAACGATTGCAAAATGAGCAACGAACAAGAGAAAAACACCGAAAATTAAGATTTGTTGCCAAAAACAAAAGGAAAGTCAGTTATCTGGAATTGTTTTGGATAATAGAAGGATGATGTTGACCAAAACACGTGTTCTGTGTTCATCTGTCGCCACAATAACGTCCCAGCACAATAAAAGCTAAAAATATCTCTGAGACAGACAGAAGCCATTCACAAAAAGAGGTAAGATCAGTGCAGGTTAACTGTCCTCAAGACTTCAGCAGTGCAGTATAACATTAAGTGCTATTCAGGTCATCTGGTGAAAATTCCTATATTTTTAATATCGCAATATATATCGCAGGGTTGAAAAAAATCGCAATGTTAGTTTTTTCCAATATCGTGCAGCCTTACTCTCTTGCTTTGTGCCTGGTTCAGTAAACTGCACGTGTAATTTCAGCAAGGCATTACATCACTTGCTTACTCATTTGACTTGTCAATCAAATCAGACCTCTTAGCCTACTCGACACACGAAGATTACCGAGCAGTCCCGATGTTGAAAACTGTCAGGCGGCAGACTGAGGAGAAAGTTGTAGCAGCAGCTAAACATGTCGGCTTCAAAACCACGAAAAGTAAAGAATGAGAACAGGGTGTTTTATGGCGAGTGGACCGAGTCATTTGCATTCATTTTACCCGCAGGAAGCACACAGCCAATTGAAAGTAGGCAGTTATTGGCAATACAAATGAAGTGAATACTTCAAAAGAGTAATGCACTGTAAAAAAAAAAAAATAAATAAAAATCCCTGGACCCAGGCCTGCAGGCATTTCATTCAGGTGGACCCACTGAAAATTTATATGAAGACCCTTGCTATAGCCTCTCTCCAGACCTGGACTTAATTCCTCCACGAAGACTTTATAAAATTCGTTACAAAATCCATCTGAACCTGGACTTTTACTGTTTTTCAACCCCCTTATTATTTCCACTATTTCCTCTCTTGTTATAGGGCCATCCATAGTTTGTGAAGTCTCATCAAACGTAATTGGCAATTTTATATTTACTAAATAAATATTGAATTGTTTGGAATCTATACATGTATCTGTATTTGAGTACAGCTTTTTGTAAAATGCAGCAAAAGCATCTGATATTTCATCTGGTTTGTAAAGAAAGGGGTCCCCTGGATCACTGTTTTTAATTTTTTGTATGACTGATAAACCTGTCTGTTTTTAAGTTGAAATGCCAGTAATCTAGTCGCTTTACTCCCACATTCATAATAACGCTGTTTTACAAATGTCAAATTTCTCTCAATCTTTTTCGTAAGCAGATTTTCCAGAGCTCTCTTAGCTTTGTTAAGCTGCGTCAGGTCATTTATAGATAACTGTTTTTTATGCTTCTGTTCCAGCTGTTCTATTTATTTTTTGAGTTCCATACGTTTTGCCTCTTTACATTTTTTCTTAGCTGACGCAAATGAAATAATCTTCGTCCCTCAAGTCATCAGTTTGAGGGCCTGGCTCACATCCGAAGGTGTACTAGTTGAGGGAGGATTTTTATCTAGTCTATTTGGCAAGACAGTTAAAATCTCCTCCAAATAATATAATTCCCTTTGCCTTTTCTATAATGAAATCACACACTTTTTATTTTAATTTGGAGCATAAATATTCAGCATAGAGACATCTATTCCACAGATGGACCCTTTCACTAGTATAACCCCCCCATCAGTAAATTTTGAGTGTAAAGAAATCTGTAGAGAGCTATGTGACATTATGGCTACCCCACATCTCTTACCTGAACTATGGGAAGAGTAATACACATTACTTGCCCAAGATCTGAGTTTTTTATGCTCAGTGTCTGACAGTTGACTTTCCAGTATAAGAGCTATCATACATTTAAGATGTTTAAGCTTATTAAGAATTTTTTTCCTCTTGAGGGGGCTATGAAGACCCTTGGCATTTTCACTAATTACTCGACGTCAGCGACCTCAGCAACCAAGTCGCGTTTGGTCTGAATGCGGCTTAATAATGATCCGTCTGCTACTTCAGAAAAAACAGAGGAGAAGGACAATAAATCCCTTCTCAGTGTGAAAAAAGTAAATAAAAATAATAAAAAAGAAGTGTTATTCTGTTCATACATACAAGAGTCTATTGTCCATCAGATTTCCTTCATTTCCACTCCATTTCTCTTCTTCCAGACCAGCTATAAACTGGTCAACTGCAGCCGGTGCATCAGAGGTGTGTGTGCAGTCTCCGTGGGTCACAAGTTGCTTTACTGGAAAGATGATTAGGGGCTTGTCGAGTCTGTTCTCTCAAAGTTTTTGTTGGACTCCGTAGAAGTCCCATTGTTGTGTATACACCTCAGCAGATAGGTCTGGATGGAACCTGATCTTGTTATTTCAGTAAATCAGCTGGCCCTTTGGTCTTGAAGCGTTCCACACACGTTACTTATCTCAATGATTCAGGAACCTCACAATGAAGGTTCAGTGGGTAGAAGAGTTGCGCTTTGGACCCGTAATGCGATGCGCTCTCTCCAGTGTCACCAGGGGGTGCACACCGAGAGTCTCAGTAAACTACTTCTTCATAAAAGCGCAGGTATTTCCACAATTCTCATATTGTTATGTCGGCTCCTGTTTTCCAAATCCTCTGTTTTGGTTGTCAGATACTTCACCTTTCTTCCCAGCATGTTAATATTTAATTGCAGATCACTGATTGTCACAACGCGGTGAGGGGTGTCTTGTCCTGGTTTTTCTGTCTTTTCATTTTCATGTTTTATTTTGAAAAATAACTCTCCTCTCGTTTCAGGTCACTTGCCCTTCCCCTTGTGTTTCCGGTCTGACGTCTCCCCTGATCCCTGATTGTTTCCACCTGTTCCCCATTAACCTCATGTGTCTTATAGTCGGCGTCTCCCTTTGTCCTGTGCCAGAGTGTCTCGTTTATTCGTGTTCCTCCAGCCTTCATGTCCACAGCCTTGCTCGATAACCACGTTGGTATTTTTGATAATCCTTGTTTCCTCTTTAGAAGAGTGATTTTCTGTTGTAGTTTTTTTTTTTCCAATTTAGTTTTTAGATCTAGCTTCTGTTTCATAGCCTTGTTGTTTTTTTCCTCCCTTTTGGAGTGACTTAGTTTTTATAAAGTTTTTTTCCTAGCCTAGTAGTGCAGTGTAGTTAAGTTTGTAGCCCTTTTGTTTCCCTCCTTTTGGAGCGCCTTTTGTTTATAAATTTTTCATAGTGATTCCTCTGAAGATTAGAGAAGATTAGCCTTTTCGTTTGTCCTCCCTTTTGGAGTGAATTTTTGTTCTGTCTTGGTTTGATTTTGTTTCTGTGTTTGTCTGTCCGCCCTTAGTAGATAGGTAGAAGGTTTTCATTGCCTGTTTATTTATCACTCGATCTACTGAGAAAGAAGACGATTTTCAAAATAAAGCGTTTGTTGAACTTTGAACCTCTGCGTCTGAGTCCTCCCTCTAGTCCAGGCCTGACACTGATTGTATCTTAAGCGCTGGACACCCGCTGTTCAGGCTGTGTGATATGGCTATTGCACTTTCTTAGGTTACTCTTAATGCTGTTAATACGGCACAGATTTCTGAGTGAAAGTTCTGTTTGAGAGATTTGATGGCTTTCATAATATTGATGCTGGTAACATTCACCTGTCCGCCATCTGTGTCAATCAGCATGGTGTCTCCCTCGTGGTGGTCTGAATTGGGATCAATGACATCGCTGGCTAGGAAAGCAGACTTCTTGGGCTTGTCTTTCATTGCTCCTCTCGGCATATTTCAGCTTTAGGTAACTTCTACTCCACTTTGAGAAAGTTTCGAGTTAGTATTTGGGAGATTTTGAAATAACTACCTTAGGATTTGTGAGTGAGCAGGAGACGAGCTGCTTCTCAGCTTGGCGTCATAACTAGAAGTCGATGTTCCTTACTTCTGAAGAAACTAGAACCAAACACCAGTGATCTGTAACCTCTGCTCATTTGACTGCCACATTTAACTTGATAAGACTCTCAGACAGCTTAAATCAGGATAAATCAGATCTACACAATGGAGTTAAAAGATCACCCAAGTCCTCTCAGTTTGATTAACCACCTGTTAGCTAAGCATACACCAGATCTCAACACACATGCTGTTTTGCTGGTCCAAAGACCTGAGCATGAAAATACATTGGAAATGTGAACCACAGGGCCCACTAAAAGGTGGACACTAGGGTTGGGCATCTTAGTATAAGGCCGATACGATAAACATTTGTTTCAATGTATCCAATCCGATATATTAAAGATACATGTGTGTAAGGCTTCACGATATAACGATATGTTTCGTCTAAACGATAGAAAATTTCTATCGGGATACATGAGCTCTATTGTTTCTATCGCGGTGTCGCAAAAACACGCTTTACGGCAGTGTTTTACGTCGTGAGGCTCCATATTGTGATTGCTTAATAATTTGGGAGTGTGTATGTGTTTTTCTGACATTCTGTACTTTCTGTAATGTTTCAGTTTTACAAGTTGGAAAAGAACCAAAGAAAGGAACACAAGAAAAGTTAAGCCTTGTGTGTTTTTTTCGTGTTCACTGACTGTCTAGCCTCGCATGGGAGAACGCGTCATGAGGACAGTACAGTAAAAAGACAACAACACAGCGGGCTGAAGAACAAACTCAGCAGACATGAGCCTACGATGGGGAAAAGGTTATTTGAAAGAATTTCCAGCACTTCAAGACGAATCAGATGAAGATCCACCAGCGGGTGCTGCGGATAACCCAAGACAAGAACCTCCTCCTCCTTCAACATTTGACGTTGCACATCAAGCATCTATGAGACAGGATCCTTTCCAAACGCTGGACACGAAATCGCAAACATCTAAATCTACCATAAGCTCACAACGATCGTCAGCGTCATCAACAGCAGTGAAGGCACTTCTAAAGGCGAAGGCAGCCCGAGCTCAACTTGTTTATGCTGAAAAGGAAGCAAATGTGATGAAACAGAAAGCAGATCTCGAAGCCAGCCTTCTCCAGTGCCAAAAGGCTGCTGCCGCAGCCGAAGCGGGAGCCAACGCCTATGAGGAAGTTGAAAGATGGGAGAAGAGCCGGATTGAGGATGAGCCCTTCAATACAGTCCAGCGCACCAGCGATTATGTTCATCAACAGTCCGAGCGTATCCTTTCAGAGCTACCATTGGAACACATGGACAGGGAGTCGCTGGAGGAAAAAGCTGACAGGATGGAAATATCCACCGTCAAATCAGCCTTGCCAGATACAAACAAAAACACACAGCCAGTTTACAAAAAAGCAAAAGATGAGCGAACAACACAATCAGGGCCAGCTGAGCTAAGGCCGCATCCCCGCCCATCACGCTTGACCTCCCCAGAAAAGAGACAACCACCTGAGCCCCAAGGTGCTCAAGACCTTGCAAGATATCTTATCCGCAAGGAGATGGTGAGTTCTGGCCTCCTGAAATTTGACGACAAACCCGAAAATTACTGGTCATGGAAAGCATCGTTCATAAGCACTACAAAAGATTTGGATCTCTCAGACAGAGAAGAACTGGATCTGATGACCAAACGGCTTGGTCCCGAATCATCAGAACAAGCTAAAAGAATTCGCTCAGTCCACGTCCTCAATCCTCGAGCAGGAGTCAATATGGTTTGGCAGCGTCTTGAAGAATGGTATGGAACTCCAGAAGTCATAGAAGATGCTCTCTACAGAAAGATTGAATGTTTTCCAAAGCTGAACAACAGAGACACTGTCAAGTTATGAGAGCTAGGTGACATTCTCCTCGAGCTTGAGTGTGCAAAAGAAGATGGTGCCCTTCCAGGTCTCCAGTATTTGGATACAGCGTGTGGGATAAAGCAGATTGTCGAAAAACTACCCTACAACCTCCAAGAAAAGTGGACGACCTATGGAAGCAAATACAAGGTGACCTACAGAGTGCCCTTTCCCCCCTTCTTTGTTTTCTCCAGCTTCGTCTGACAACAAGCAAAGGTGAAAAATGATCCAAGTTTCTTCATATCCACTGCCAACAGCCCACTTCCTGTCAAAACAGAAAAACTTGAGAGACACAACAACAAGCCTTTTGTGAGAGTGCACAGAACTGACATCCCAGCAGAACCGTCAGACATACAGGACAACTCTTTTGCAAAGAAACTGGAGGAACCAGACCGCCAGTGCCCCATACACAAAAAGCCCCACCCACTGAAGAAATGTAAGCTTTTCAGAGAAAAACTGTTAGAAGAACGCAAAGCATATCTCAGGGAAAACCGCATCTGCTTCAGATGTTGCAGGTCTGTACAACACGTGGCGAGAAACTGTAAAATCAGTGTAAAGTGTTTAGAATCCAACAGTGACAAACACATTTCAGCTCTGCATCCGGGGCCCCCTCCCACAACAACACAGAGAGATGCAGATGACAAAGATGATGCTGGAGTGCAAAGTGGAAGCCAATTTCTTTCAGTTACCTCAAAGTGCACAGAGATTTGTGGGAATGTTGAAGGTTTACGCTCATGTGCCAAAATCTGTTTAGTGAAAGTGTACCCTGCTGGAGAAAGGGAGAAAGCAGTGAAGATGTACGCAGTGCTGGATGAACAGAGTAACAAGTCTCTCGCAAAGAGTCAGTTCTTTGACATTTTCAAAATTGACACCAGCTCCACCCCATACACGCTGAGAACTTGTTCTGGAAAAATGGACACTTCCGGCAGAAGAGGTGCTAACTTCATGCTTGAGTCTGTTAATGGGAAATTACAACTTCCCCTCCCACCCTTAATTGAATGTGATGCGGAGCCCGATGATAGGGCAGAAATTCCATCCCCAGAGATTGCGCTCCATCACCCTCACCTAAAGCCGGTTGCCGACAAGATCCAACCTGTGGACGAAGAAGCTCCGATCCTCCTGCTCATAGGAAGGGACATGGTGAGAGTCCACAAGGTTCGTGAGCAGATTAATAGACCTCACGATGCCCCTTACGCACAGCGACTTGACCTGGAATGGGTTATTGTGGGGGAAGTCTGTTTGGGACAGGCACACAAGCCGACAGAAGTGAATGTGTACAAAACAAACCTTTTGCACAACGGCCGCTCATCCTTTCTCCTACCTTGTCCAAACAGCATGATTGCAAAGGACAGCTATGCTGGCACGTCACAGTGCAATGTTCAACCTGCCAAAGGAAAAAAATGCTGGACCTAGCACACCCGAAGACAACCTGGGAAACTCAGTGTTCGAAAGATCCAAGGAGGACGATAAACCAGCGTTATCAATAGACGACAAAGCCTTTCTAGCAATCATGGACGCAGAGGTCAAGCAAAATAAAGGGAACAGCTGGGTGGCGCCTTTGCCCTTTCGTTCACCTAGGAGACGGCTGCCAAATAACAGGGGACAAGCCTTGAAACGTCTTCAATCCCTCAAGAAAACCCTGGAGAAAAAAACAAAAATGAAAGAGATACAAACTTCACTACATGAAGTTCATGCAGCAGATGATAGAGAACGATCAGGCTGAACCTGCCCCGCCCATAGACAAGGGCACAGAATGCTGGTACCTGCCGACATTTGGCGTTTACCACCCCCAAAAACCAGAACAGATACGAGTGGTTTTTGACTCGAGCGCCGAGTTTGAAGGAACGTCCCTCAATGATGTGCTGTTGAGAGGACCAGACTTGAACAACTCCTTACTAGGAGTTCTGATGCGGTTCAGAAAAGAGCCAGTGGCCATGACAGCCGATGTGCAGCAAATGTTTTATTGTTTCATTGTCCGAGAGGATCATAGAGACTATTTGAGGTACCTCTGGTATGAAGATAACAACATCAACAAGAAGATGGTGGAGTTCAGGATGAAAGTCCATGTGTTTGGGAACAGCCCTTCGCCTGCTGTTGCCATCTACTGCATGAGAAGAGCAGCTGAAAAAGGTGAAGAGGAGCACGGGTCAGATGCAAGACAATTTGTCGTGAGGCAGTTTTATGTTGATGACGGCCTCACCTCAGTTGCCACATCTCAAGAGGCCATAGATCTTTTGGCACGGACCAGGGAAATGTTGGCAGAATCCAATCTGCGGCTGCACAAGGTGGCATCAAATAAGCAGCAGGTAATGGAAGCCTTCCAAGCCGAAGATCTCGCATAGATCTGAAGGATGTGGAACTGGGAGTGGATCCTCTCCCACTGCAAAGGAGCCTAGGACTGTCTTGGAACTTGGAGACGGACAGTTTCACTTACCTTGTGTCTCAAGAACAGAAGCCATTCACACGCAGGGGAGTGTTGTCAACTGTCAACAGTTTGTATGACCCCCTGGGTTTTGTAGCTCCCATAACATTGCAAGGGAAAGCACTCATCCGTGAGTTGTCGTCTGAGCAGACAGAGTGGGATGCTCCCCTCTCCCCAAAGAAGGAATCAGAATGGAACTCATGGAAGGACTCCCTAAAAGTTCTGGAGGACCTGCAGGTACCAAGGTGTTATGTTCCAATCTCACTGTCTTTAGACCAGAGTAAAGAACTCTGCATCTTCTCAGACGCTTCAACCATGGCTATAGGAGCTATAGCCTACCTGAGAGTAGCCAACACTGAAGGGCAATACTACGTGGGATTTGTTATGGGAAAGTCGAAGCTGGCCCCTTGCCCTGCTCACACAATTCCATGTTTGGAGCTTTGTGCCGCAGTGCTGGCTGTGGAGCTGTATGAGTTGATTAGAGACAAGATGGATATGGTAGTGGACGCTGTGAGGTTTTTCACCAACAGCAGAATCGTGCTTGGATATATCTGCAACTCCACAAGAAGATTCTACATATATGTTTCAAACAGGGTCATTCGGATAAGAAGGTCCACACACCCTGATCAGTGGCACTACACATCCACAGATCTCAATCCAGCTGATCTGGCGACCAGAACCATACCTGCAGCCCAACTCCAACACAGTGTTTGGTTCACCGGTCCAGCCTTCCTGTACCACGACAATGCAAGTGAGTCAGCCGAACCAAACTCCTTCTCTCTGGTTGAGCCTGAGGCTGATGAAGTTCGCCCAGAAGTCACAGTCTTTTCTACTAATACCTTCAATTCTCAGTTGAGCTCACATCGGTTTGAGAAATGTTCCAGTTGGACAAGCCTCAACAAAACAGTGGCCAGCCTCATTCATGTTGCAGCGTCTTACAGAGGATCAGTGAATGCAGAGAAGAAAGGATGGAGATGTTTTAAAGAGACGGTGAGTGTGAGCGAACTCTCACAATCCAAAACTGTGATCATTCGCTCTGTCCAGCAGGAAGCCTTCAAGGAGGAACTGAGATGTCTTGAAAGAGGACATGGAATGTCCAAACAGAGTACACTGGAAAGGCTCAATCCAGTCATGGACAAAGATGGCCTGCTCCGCATTGGAGGTCGCCTGTCACAAGAAGAGAAACACCCATTGATCCTGCCTCATAATCACCACATTTCCACACTGCTGGTGCGACACCTTCACAAACAAGTAGCTCACCAAGGACGACACATCACCGAAGGAGCACTACGTGCTGCTGGTTACTGGATAATTGGGAGCAAGCGTCTGGTGTCTTCAATCATCTACACGTGTGTCACATGCCGTAAGCTACGAGGCAGGTTGGGAAGATCAGAAAATGGCGGATCTGCCAACTGACAGACTTAGTCCTGAGCCTCCATTCACCACCGTTGGTCTTGACATCTTTGGGCCATGGGCTGTCATGACAAGGCGCACAAGAGGAGGAAGTGCTGACAGTAAGCGTTGGGCAGTGCTCTTTACGTGTATGGCAACCAGGGCAGTGCACATCGAACTGATAGAAGCCATGTCGACAGACAGTTTCATCAATGCTTTGAGAAGATTCTTCTCTATTCGAGGGCCAGCAAAACTCCTGCGGTCCGACAGGGGAACCAATTTCATGGGCGCTTGCAGAGAACTGAATATGGCCATGAATGATTCAGGAGTCACAAAGTATCTCCAGGGAAAAGGATGCTCCTGGATCTTCAATCCTGCTCATGCTTCTCACATGGGCGGATGCTGGGAGAGGTTGATCGGAGTTGCCAGGCGCATTCTTGATGCCATGTTGCTGCAAAAAGGACCAATTCGCCTCACTCATGAGATTTTGTCTACATTCATGGCGGAGGTGATCATCAATGCAAGACCCCTTGTGTCCATATCAACCGACCCAGAGATGCCTGCAGTTCTCACTCCAGCGATGCTCCTTACCCAAAAGATGAGTGCTGTTTCAGCCCCCTCTGGAGACTTTTGTACGGCTCCGCTGTAGGGGAAACAGTGGAAACAAGTCCAGTGTCTCGCCGACACTTTTTGGAAGCGATGGAAAGGGGAGTATCTCTCAAGCCTTCAGAGCCGTAGAAAGTGGACCAAGGCCAAGCCTAACGTGAAGGAAGGAGATGTGGTCCTACTGAAAGACAGCCAGGTGCACAGGAATGAATGGCCAGTTGGACTGGTTGTGAAGGCCATCCCAAGTGGCGATGGCAAGGTCCGGAAGGTAGAAGTGCGGATCGTCAAAGAGGGGAAGGCCAAGGTATTTCTGAGGCCAATCTCAGAGATTGTGGTTCTTCTTTCAGAGACTTAGAAAAGTCAAGAGTTATGACTATTGATGGACATTCATGTTTTTGTGTTTGTAGTGATAAAATGTGATTATATCAAGCGGGGAGTGTGTTGGCTTCAATATGGGTAAACACACATATTGATGGTTAAAATAATAAATAGCTAAAAATGTGAATAAGAAATAGATAAGAATACAAGAGTGTTAAAAATATAAATAATTTGAATATCTAAAAACGTTGCATTGTACATTTTCACTGTGGATAAATGAATGTGATTCGCCATCTGCTGGGCAAAGTTGGTACTGCACTTAGAGGCACTAACTCGGCACTTGGCCGTCTCACTGCAGACGAATGTAAACACTGAGATGAGAAGAAGCCACGGAGTTCATACTGCCGAATTCAGATGTTCCAGCCTCGGAGACTATTTGTCTGTGAGTGACGTGTTGTGACGGCTGTACTGTGTGGAAGTTGTGATAATGTTTTGATTATGTCACGTTCGTTTTGCTGTAGTTTGTGTGATTTGATAGCTAGTGTTAGCCGTGTGTATCGCTAGCTAGCATGTAGCTCTGTTGATTGAAGCCACATTAGCCCATATTGTGATTGCTTAATAATTTGGGAGTGTGTATATGTTTTTCTGACATTCTGTACTTTCTGTAATGTTTCAGTTTTACAAGTTGGAAAAGAACCAAAGAAAGGAACACAAGAAAAGTTAAGCCTTGTGTGTTTTTTTCGTGTTCGCTGACTGTCTAGCCTCGCATGGGAGAACGCGTCGTGAGGACAGTACAGTGCTGCTGTTTTTGCTTGTAGAAACTGCTATGTTGATTCTGGCAAGACAAAATCTTTCTCAAATGTCATAAATACATCTACCTAACATCTGAAACAGTTATTGGTGCCTTAGTATACGCACAAGTGAATTCATATTATGAAATGTAGCATGTTTCTACAAGCAAAAACAGCAGCACCATATAATTGTTTTTGGGTTACTCACATATACATTTCTGGCTTGTGACAAAAGTTGGACAGATAGTCTGAGTAGATATTTTAACCCAAAGTCCAGAATGGTATTGTCTATGCAAAAATGCATTGAACAAGTAGCACCAGCGTAGTTGAACAAAATTCACTTTCTAGGCACTTTTTCCTTTGTCCCAATACAGCCTATGACTGACCCGCGGCTGCATCACGTTCTTGTTTCTCAAACGCCTTTTGCAAATAAATCGCTGGTAGCATGTCATGCGAAACCCAGTGTCATCAATAACATTGTCAAAGTCGATATCAATTCAATGTTTATAAGTTTCTGCAAGGTCCTTTGTCTCACCCTGTAGAGAAAGCCACTTTCTAATACTAGTTCTGTAAGTTTCCCAATGTGTCCTTGTAAAGTCAAGAATGTCTTCACTCTGGACAGATGATAGATGCATACAGCATCGTTTCATTCCTTTTTTATGCACTTTTGAAGGCTGTTTTCTTTTTTCCTTTTCTTTTTTTCCTCTTCGCTTGTCACGCTGCTAGATAGTTCGACACCGAAACATTGATTACTAAAAATTGACTGGATGGCATGAGTAGATTTTTTTTTTTAGTACTTACTATCAATAGAGCTATTTTATGAATTACAGTTTATGTTGCACTAGCGTAGTGGAACGAACCAACACAATCTCACTCAACCAATACAGCCTATTATTGGAAATACTAAACTGTCAAGAAAAACTGAACTACAAAACCCCCAATCTGAAATGTATGAATAACTAATATTTTAACAGCTGCAGGCTTTGGAATAAGGGGGAAGTGTGAGTGTTCCAGCTAAGGGGAGAGACAAAACTCACTTACATTCATAAATATAAATGCATATATGTACATCAGCGGCAATTGCTCTAAGACTGCAAGGGAAGCTCAGCTTCCCTTAAAATGTCACCCTCCAAAAAAAAGAAAAAGTGGTGAAATACTTACTGCTGTGTGTACATTTCGTTAACTAAATACGCACTAGAAAGCCTTCATCTTTTGTTCAGAATCAGCTTCTTATCACACTGTGATAAGAAGCTGATTCTGCACAACTTCGTTCTCATTCATCCTCGCAGCGCCTCAGCGCTTTACACAGCCGGACTCCCAGCTTCTGCTGACTTCAATGTGGAAGCTCAAAGTGGGTTGTTCCAGCAGCGAAACCAGACGCTCATTGGATAAATGCTGGGCTTTGTCCCGCCCTTCAGACGCTCAGCTTCTCTGGAGTTCTATGGCGAGAGGGCAGTCCCAACTTTCTCCCGGACTCCGAGCTTCTGCATCCATGATTGGATGAGCTGTCTGAGGCGAAATCCTTTTTTGATTGACAGCTAAACAAGCGAATCAGCAATCTTGAAGAATAAAACATCTACCAAAGCATTTTCCAAGTTATTTATTCTGTTGTTCTTAACTGCTCCAGAGACTTTACCGATCCTCAGCGAATTTTGTCTTTGTTAAAAACGACTGCCGTTGTGTTTGGCGACTCTGTTCTGTTACATACAAATAAACAAACACAATTATGATGTAGGCCTGATGTACATCCATTACTGACATAAAATCTCAATATATTTGACTTATTAAAAGGACACAGATGAAGACATATTTACACCTGAGATCTGTACATATCATTAACAAAGACGATGGGCAGGATAGATAATAATCTGAGAGGGTTGTTATTATGTTATGACACCCCTTGGGGAAGAAGTGGTACCTAGCACCTCTTTGCTGACTTTGCCCTGTACATGTAAAAGAAGTTATTTAGGACAAAACCTTATCTTGTTTTAAATAAAATTGCTGATTTTAAGAATAAGAATAAGAATAACTTTATTAATCCCCGAAGGGAAATTCAATTGTCTGTTGTCTCACAAAATATGTCTCTACCAGTCATCTACTATTTACCCAAGAGTTATAAAGTCTAATGGCTGTTGGTACAAAAGATCTTCTGAATCTTTCTGTCCTGCAGCGAAGTGAGAGGAGCCATCCACCACCATTGGCCCTTTGGTCCATCGAGGTGTTGTGAAGTGGGTGATCCATGTTCTTTCGAATAGACTCCACCTTCCTCAGTGTAGATCTCTCCACCACATCCTCCACTGAGTCCAGCTTGAGTCCTACCACAGCCAGCCTTTTTCACCAGTTTGTTAAGACATCTTGCATCTTTGTGTTTGATGCTTCCTCCCCAGCAGACTGCAGCGTAGAACAGCACAGAGACTGATAAAACATCTGTAGCATCTTACTACAGATGTCTATAAATCGGAGTCTTCTCAGGCAAAAGAGGCGGCTCTGCCCCTTTCTGCAGACGAAGTCTGTATTCTTAGACCAGTCCAACTTATTATCCAGATGTACACCTAGGTATTTATATGATGTCACCACTTGATGTCCACTCTACAGGTGTTTACTGGCTGAAGAGGGGGTTTGGATCTAAGGAAGTCTGTGACCATCTCCTTGTCCTTGAGGTGTTGAGGAGGAGGCAGTTTTTGTGACTCCAGTCACTGTAGGCTCTTATCAGATCTCTGTATTCAGCTTCTTGTTCATTTCTGATACATGCCACAATAGCGGTGTAATCTGAGTATTTATGAATGTGGCAGGACTCAGTGCTGTATTTGAAGTCTGACGTATACAGTGTGAACTGTCCCTTGTGGAGCCCCTGTACTGCTCATTAATGTCCCAGAAACACAGTTTCCCAGCCTGACAAACTATGGCCTCCCTGTCAGGTAATCTGTGATCCAGGAAACACTGAGAGGATCCACTCCCATCTCTGTGAGCTTGTCTTTGAGTATGGTAGGTTGGATGGTGTTAAATGCACTTGAAAAGTCGAAGAACATGATCCTCACATAAACCCCAGGTTCCTCCAGATGAGACAGAGCACGGTGAAGCATGTAGAGGACAGCATCATCCACTCCAATGTGCTCTTTGTATGCAAACTGCAGGAAATCCAGTTTGGTCTTTGACCTGAGAACCGCTCCAGGGTTTTCATGATGTGTGAAGTAAGGGCCACTGGTCTATAGTCATTGAGTTCAGCAGGACATTTTGTTTTTGGTACTGGCACAATGCAGGATGTTTTCCACAGAGTAGGTACCCATCCCAGCTGTAGACTCAGGTTGAAGATCTTTTGGAGAGGTTGACACAGTTCTACAGCACAGTCGCTAAGCAGCCTTGGACACACACTATCTGAATTGAACTGTATGTCCGTCACATTGGTATGTAATGGATGGTATGTACAATAATGCTGTACCTTGTAAGCCCAAGACAAATTTCTCCTCGGAGACAAATAAAGGAATTGATTGATTGATTGATTGATTGACCAGCTGTCTTCCCAGGACAAAGTCTTCCAAGCTCCATCCTCACCCTCGTTTCAGTGACAGACAAGGACTGGTGTTCTAGTAGGGAGGCAGTTGAAGTGGTTGAGACATTTGAATGGGATGGAGGAAGAACGGGAGAAGCTGTAGTGGAGATTTGTTGCGGTCAGGAAGGTGGAGTAGCAGTGGAAGTGGTGTGACAGCAGTGTCAAATCTGTTGAAGAACAGGTTGAGTTCATCAGCTCTTTCCACATCAACCACCACTGGCTGTCTTTTCTTTTTATTGCTGTGTCCAGAGATGGTACTGATTCCTCTCCACACTTCACAGATGTTGCTGTGTTGTAGATTCTTCTTTTTGTACTCCAGCTTTGCCATCTTCAGTCTCCTCATCAACTCTTGTTTAAGTTATTTGTCACCATCTTTAAAAGCTTTCTTTTTCTGGTTAAGCATTGCTTTTATGTCTCTTGTAATCCAGGGTTTGTTGTTGGGGAAACAGCAAACAGTTTTTGTGGGTATAACTGTGTCTCTACAGAAGTTGACATAATCAGTAAAGCAGTCAACCTGTTTATCAATGTCCATACTACCCACATCTGTTTCCAGCAACACATTACAGTCTGTTGATTTAAAACAGTCCCTTAGAGCTTCACTGGCTTGAGGTGTCCATCTTCTGATTTTGACTGTGGTCACAGGCTGCCTCAGTAGACAAGGTCTGTAAAAGGTTTGCAGAAAGACCAAGTTATGTTCTGACTTGTCCAGTGGTGGTAAGGCCGTGGCTCTGTAGTCTTCTTTGACGTTGGCATACAGCAGATCCAGAGTTTTGTTTTCTCTGGTAGGACAGTTCACAAACTGTGTGAATCCAGTCCGGTGAGAGGAGAGGGTGACATGGTTGAAGTCTCCCGATATTATTATTAGTGACTCAGGTTGTTGAGCCTGTAGCCTGGCAACACTATTATGCAAAACATCGCACGGTATTTCTTCAGTTGATTTGGGTGGAATGTAAACAATTACTGTTTTGATATGACTTAATTCTCTTGGAACATAATATGGCTGAAGAGATACTGCCAACAGTTCAATATCTGAACAACACAGCGTCCCCTTGACATTTATGTGTGAAGGATTACACCGTCTCTGGTTGACAAAAAAGCCAGACCTCCTCCTTTCTTCTTGCCACTAGCTTGAGCATTGCACTCATGGTAAGCTTTCTCAGTCTTCACCAATATCTCCAGCTCATCGCTTTTGTTGGGCAGAGAGTTGACGTTTCCCATGATGATTGATGAAAGAAAGGGTTTATATCGCCACCTCCTAGCATTCAGCTTTGCCTTCACCTTTGCACCAGCACGGCAACCACGACAACACCTCCTGATGTCCTCTGGAATTGTACGTTGTTGTCTAGATAAGCTTTTTCTCAATGAAAGGAGCTCTTCTCTTGAGTAAACTCTTCGCCCAGCAGAAGTATCCATCAGCAGCCAACAAAATGACAACAAAAATATGAAAAACATCTCGCAAAAATTACAAAAATAACAGATTATGCAGAGAGACCAGACTTGCAGCAATCTCTCGGTTCAAGCGCATCATTTGAATGATTTTGATGCTTGCTTAAAGAAATTTTAATTTAAACCAAACCTCAGCAAATTTCAGGAATTCAAATCAACAGGTTGATATTCTAGCCAATAGTCTTTCTTGTTGTTTCTGCACAAAAAAGAGGCATAAAGATTCATTTTAGATTGTTGCATAACAAACCCTCCCAGGAGCTTTAAAGATTATATAAGCATGCATTTTTACATGACATCATTTCTTGCATTTGGACCAGATACCAATACCAAATAAAACACTAGGCAAGGTAAGCTATCAAATTATGTTTATATTTATCCCGAATAAAAATATAATTGTTACATCACTGCAAGGAATAAAATTGACCTCTCACAATAGCAAATGCAATTTGATTAGAAAAAAAAAAAAAAGGGGGGGGGGGGTTGTTTTGCCTTTCTGTGGTCTATTTCCTGCTAATTTGGATATAATTCAGTGAGTGTTGAGCCTCTACTATATGTGAAAAATCAACAGGATTTTACAGTTTCAGTTTTAGCAGGTTTACTCATGTTTAATTAAGTAAACTATGTTCCTTTACGCTGTGCTGTTACCTTCAAACAGAGTTAGCAGTTAAAAGTTCTGTTGGGGTCCACATCAATCAGGGATTGACCATTGGATTGTTCTGTGTTACTGATAAATCCATAACCAGGAAGTATTTCTCATCTACATGAACTAATAAACATGCGTGGTTTTCATGCTTGACTTCCTGTCCAGAATGATCTTTGCGTAGAATGAGGCGTATTGAAAGTGTAGAGCAGCAAAAATAGACTTGGCACGTCTCTTTAGCAGTGCCGCGCTCAACACGCTTCTGATACGGAGCTGTGATGGAGCTGATACGCGCCCTGTATGTGATGCTGTATTAATTGGAATGGGGTACTGCGTGATATAAGATGGTGACAAGACGTGCTAAGTACGGATCCAGTATGTTTTAGCCTTTCGTGTGGACATATAATTTCCAGTTTATATAACAATTAAGATTCATGCCAGCATAGCTATATAGTGTTAGCTATCTGTTAGCTGCTCTAAGGACATTGAGCTGCTGGCTGTGAGTTTGCGGCCATATTACCTGCCGAGGGAGTTTTCGCACGTCATCGCGTTAACTGTTTACATCCCCCCCTCGGCTGATGCTGCTGCAGCCTGTGAACTCCTCCATAATGAAGTGTCCAAGCTACAGACATCACACCCTCAGTCTCTGATCATCATCTCTGGAGACTTTAATCATGCATCGCTGTCCTCCACTCTCCCTACCTTCAGACAGTATGTAAACTGCCCAACAAGAGACAATAAAACTTTGGACTTACTGTATGCAAACACCAAGGATGCATACACCTCCTCCCCCCTCCCCCCGCTGGGCCGCTCAGATCACAACCTGGTGAGACTGCAGCCCATTTACATACCTATGGTGAAGAAACAACCCCCCACCATCAGGTATGTTAAGAGGTGGTCTGAGGAGGCCACTGAGGCGCTGCAGGACTGTTTTGAGACCACAGACTGGGATGTACTGTGCGGCCCACATGGTGATGACATCGACACCATGACAGATTGTATCACGGACTATATAAACTTCTGTGTTGAGAACACCGTACCTACCAGGAAAGTACAGTGTTTCTCCAACAGCAAACCTTGGGTGACCCCGGAACTTACAGTGGCCCTGAAGGAGAAGAGGAGGGTCTTTAAATCTGGGGACAAGGAGGAACTGAGGAGGGTGCAGAAGGAGTTGAAAAAGAAGATCAGAGAGGGGAAGGCCAGCTACAAGACCAAGATGGAAAACCTTTTGCAACAGAACAACGCAAGGGAGGTCTGGAGAGGCCTGAAATCCACCTCAGGTCATAGCAGGGGCCATGAGAGGGGACCTGAAGCAGGAGACAGGGAGTGGGCCAACGAGCTGAATCTATTCTTCAATAGATTTGACTCTACTCCCACTCCTCCCCCGACTCATCTAACCAACGACCCGTCTGCTGCTCCTTCTTCTTATTCACACCACCTCAGTCCCAGGGCACCGACACCATCAACCCCCCTCCACTCATCCCCCACCACCCCCTCCAGCACCACCCCCAGCCTCTCCATAACAGCTGACCAGGTGAGAAGTGAGCTGAGGAAGATGAAGCCAAGGAAAGCCACGGGTCCTGATGGCATCAGCCCCAGACTCCTGAAAGACTGTGCAGACCAGCTCTGTGAGGTGCTACTGCACATCTTCAGCTTGAGCCTGAGTCTGGAGAGGGTCCCAACACTGTGGAAGACCTCCTGTGTGATTCCTGTCCCCAAGACAGCGCACCCCAGGGAGCCCAACCACTTCAGACCTGTGGCCCTCACTTCTCACCTGATGAAGACTCTGGAGAGGATCGTGCTGAGGAACCTCCGCCCCCTGGTGAGCTCTCATCTGGATCCTCTGCAGTTTGCATACCAGCCAAACATCGGGGTGGATGACGCAGTCATCTACCTGCTGCAGAGGTCCATGGCTCACCTGGAGAACACTGGCAGCACTGTGAGGGTCATGTTTTTTGACTTCTCCAGTGCGTTCAACACCATCCAGCCTTCACTGCTCAGGGGGAAGCTTGAGCGGGCGGGAGTGGACTGTCACCTAGCCGCATGGACCGTGGACTACCTCACCGACAGACCACAGTTTGTGAGGCTTCAGAACTGTGTATCGGACATGGTGGTCTGCAGCACGGGGGCTCCACAGGGGACAGTGCTCTCCCCCTTCCTCTTCACCCTGTACACCTCAGACTTCAGCTACAACTCGGGGAGCCGTCACCTCCAGAAGTTCTCTGATGACACAGCCATCGTCGGATGTGTATCGTCAGGGGATGAGCGGGAATACAGGACTGTCATCACTGACTTTGTCAACTGGTGTGGCACAAACCACCTCCAGCTCAACGCCAGTAAGACAAAGGAGATGGTTGTGGATTTCCGCAGGAGGGGCACACCTCAAACAGTTCCAGTGAACATACAGGGTCTGGACATCGAGATGGTGGAGTCCTACAGATTCCTGGGTGTCCACCTCAACAACAAACTGGACTGGTCAACAAACACAGACGTTCTGTACAAGAAGGGCCAAAGTCGTCTCCACCTGCTGAGGAGACTGAGGTCCTTTGGAGTGTGCAGGACTCTGCTCAGGACTTTCTATGACTCTGTGGTAGCATCTGCACTTTTCTATGCAGTGGTCTGCTGGGGGGCAGGGACCACTGAGAGGGACAGGAAGAGACTAAATAGACTGGTCAGGAGGGCCGGTTCTGTCCTGGACTGCTCTTTGGACTCCCTGGAGGAGGTGGGTGAGAGGAGGATGTTAACAAAGCTTGTATCCATCATGGACAATCCCTCTCACCCACTGCACCAGACTGTGGGGGCTTTAGGCAGCTCCTTCAGCAGCAGACTGAGACTCCCACCCTGCAGGACGGAGCGCTACCGCAGATCATTCCTCCCCTCTGCAATAAGACTTTACAATGAACAGTAACAAAACTGGATTTACACCACCACTTTTTTTATGGCATTTAAATTGTGTATATTGTAGAAAGCTTTATTTTTTCTTCTCCCTTTTCTAATTTTTTTCTTAATTATTACATTTATTTAAGTTCTTAATATTAGGACCCTTATTGTTATAACTGCATTTTTGCACTTTTTGTCTTGTCTGTGATGCTGCTGTGACAAAAAAAATTTTCCCCATGGGGGATCAATAAAGGAATAAAAGGAATATTCTATTCTATCAGTCTATTATAGTCTACTCCTGTATTTAAGGCTTAAGATAAACCAGTGAACTCTGTTTAAGGCTGTTCCTATTTTATTAATTGATCAGACTAAGTCCATTAAAGAACAATGATCAAGAAATCCATACTGTTTAACATAAAGTGTTTTATTGTCCTTTGAATATATAAACAATCTATTGAAGACTATTTTTCATTTTTTTGGAAAATC